TTTKTCTTGCTCTTACAAAAGTTAATGGTCTAGGGCAATTTTGTGTTCAGCAGAACACAACTGTTTCCAAAATATGAAAAGCACATAAAATGTTGTGCTATAGCTATTTATGAGAATGCCATTATGTGTAATTGACTGCTTTTCTTCATGAATATTCAACTTGCATTGTGTGGTTTTATAATAATTTRCTGGGGTAAAGAAATACACTGTAGTTGAACCAAGCTTCAACTACATAAGATCTTCTTTTTCATTCTGTGACAACATTTGAACAGTGCCATAAATCTTCAATAATAGTATAGACTATGACTTTACCTCTGATTTACAATATAAAAAGTGGCCCTAAAATTATATATGGACCTCTAGAAGGAAAGTAAATGATGACTAGAGCCTGCTGTATGAACAGTTTKGTATTTCAGAAGAAAAACAGCAGCACCAAAAAGCCAGGTATTTCCTTAAAGAGAAATTGGAACATATTCTTAGCTCTATATCTTTGCATTTTGCAATATTCACTGACTTAGCAGTGCAGGATGCATGAGATGCTTTACTGAGTGAGACCTAGAATTTTCCCATTGACACAACAAGTAATGCAGCACTTGGTTTCTCTTTCTGACAGTCTCAATAACACCAAGAATTGGCAAAGAAGGCTGTGATATTGTTTTATTGCAAGACATTTTCAAGTTCAGAATTGGTGGGACTGAACAAATAACTAGCCAATAAACAGTGGAAAAAGCTATTAAGAAATTGAATSTATTCTATTACTTCTCAGGTACAGAGAGTGCTTATTTAATATTTAATAGCAAACAGTTTTGAAAGATGAAAAACCATCTCCAAACTGAGATATTATAAAAACAATACTGTATTTGCAGAGTGAAAAAGATCTACAAACACACAGGACAAATGTTGACCTCAGATTAAGCAAATGTTATCCTTTGGCAAGCAGTGATGAATACACTAAAGGCACTTCTGGAATGGCATCATTATCTCACTGAAATCAGTGACAGGAGTTCTATTGACTCCAATAGATCCAAGGTTTCATTCCTGAGCTGTGCTATGAGGTGATGAAATAAAATGAATCAGATGTCGGAGAAAGTTGTCAGATATTGCTGACCAAGAGCACTGGTGTTGTTTTAATATAAAAAAATTGCATCAGTCTGGATGAAATAGAAGAATTAGATCAGAAATGATACTAAATGCAGTAAAAGAGATCATTGCTTTATTACGGTTCAAAATATGTTCAAATGACAACAAAGACCACATTAAAAAACTAGTTTTGAGTTGGAAATTGAACTATAGCCTTACTGGGGTCCTCTGCAGCCTTGGTGATGATGTGACATCCCCCWGTGTGCCACAGCTGCCCTGTCCTTCATTCACTGCCTTTCAACATGCTCTTGGATTAGTTAAGAGTGTATTAACCCAGTCTTCCCCATAACCCATGTACASCCCCTGATGTCAGTCCCATCTACTTCACAGTCTAACAAGGTTTTTACATAAGGAAACCTATAAGTYCTATTGTCATATTGAGGAGAGACTCAAACTTCTGGTTTTCCTTCATTTTTCTTAGACAAGAGGTGTGTAGAAGAATTAGAAACCAGAGATACTGCTRTCTTCTAAATCTGCACTGAGGGACCTTCTTTTGAATTTGTACTCTTTACTGTTATTTTTAAACCCCATTTAAAGGGGAAAAGACAGAAACTTTTGTGGCATTCAGCATTTTGCAGTTTCTCATGTCTTGATTTTTTGCAAGCTGAGCCCCAGTTCTTCTGGTACATAAGCAGCAGGTCATTCTGGAGGCTGAATTACTGTTTCTGAGAAGTGTGAGCTGTGGCTTAATCTTTGCTTGATTCATGAACAGAAACAGAAAAAGAGTGGAGATAACAGAGTTAACATTCTTCTTGTGTTAACAGAAAAGAAAAACCTCTGTTTTCCAGTTTATCTTCCAGATCCCAAGGGTAGGAATGCATAAACAGAATGGAACACTGGTTTTGTTAACAAAACCCAGCAGACCACCAGATGAAAACCTTAAATATTGCACTGTAAATAAAAGATGTAATTTAAGATGCTGTTTTATGTGCATCATAAACTAAGTCCGAAAAGAACCTGAAGCCAGAGTAGTTGCAGAGCTTTAGTGACATTTTCACACACAGGCCATGTCAAGCCAATTCCCATGAGGTAAAACTGCCTCTGAAATACTTTTCTGGAGCACTTTTTATTTATTTTTTCTTCAGTCAGTGATGGTATTAAAAGTCACGTGGGTATTGGCATTAGTAAAAGTGGCATGGAGAAAAGTCCGAAGTGGGCAGGAGTGATGGTGGCAGGCTTGGAGAAGGGGCAGGCAGCTGAAATGGAGGGTGGAGGCTCTGCCAGAGCCAAGGAAGAAMCTGAAACTAAATTACTCAGATAGTCTCCCCAGCACAATGGCCCCACAGCCCTTCCTTCATGGCTGGGGCTGAACTAGAGGAATTCACCAAAGAAATTACTTGATCTGCAAGTATTACTCTGAAGAGCTGATTTTAAATGTAAAGCATTTAAGTCTTCTCAATGTATTTATTATCAGGACATATTTTTCAAATGGGTTATTATGTCCCTATACATGTTCTTAGCATACCTACACYAGATTTTGCAAGAGAGAAAAAATGTGTTAATCCTTCTGACTTAATTTCYATCACCTGTATTCCAACATTGCATAAATACAAACTTATATATCTTACAGCTAAATTCTTCAGAAGAGATTTAAGACAGAGAAATCATAAAAATTTTGATAGATTTGGCTGTTTTTCCTTGTTTGTTTGTTACTGGTGTATTCAAATACCCCAGGATGCACCATCTGCTTGAAAGTATGGTACTAATGAAAAGGCCCACTGTGACAACACTGCATCWGACAAAAAGTGTTAGCTAGGAGGATGGCAAACAACCCATTTTCCAGCCTACTCACAAATAATAGCTCTTACCTCAGTCAGGTTTTGCAAGAAATCAAGCTCTCTCAACATTTCACAGAATCACAGAATCATTAGGGTTGGAAGGGACCTCTGGAGAACATCTGGTCCAACCTCCGTGCCACAGCAGGGACACCTAAAGCAGGTGACACAGGAACTCATCCAGGTGGGTTTTGAATGTCTCCAGAGAGGGAGAYTCCATGAACCCCATGGGCAGCCTGTTATAGTGCTCTGCAACCCTTAACATAAAGAAATTCTTCCTCACATTGAGGAAARCATCTTGTGTTTCAGTTTATGGCCATTGCTTTTTGTCCTGTCACTGGACACCACAGAAAAGAGCTTGGCACCATCCTCTTGCCACCCATCTTTGAGATATTGATATGTATTAATGAGATCCCCTCTCAGTCTTCTCTTCTCTAGACATTATTCTCTGTTAATATTACTAATGACAATCTGCCTCTTTGAGTGCTTTTTGTTGTTTTCAAGGCCGGAGAGACAGGTCCATCCACCCTAGGTCAATGCCTGGGTCCCTTCAGACTGGACCACAGCCATCTCGACGAGAGTACCTGGCAACAGCTGGGAACTGCCTCACTCGTGAACAGCACTGACCCATGTCAAAGCCACCACCGCCTCCGGGACCCACCACCCAGGCTCGCTSTCCCTTCTCCAGTTTCGAGTGAAGGGCCGGTCAAGCCACTGCCCCCTGCGGCCCGAGGGAAGGGGGGAGGAACGCTGGTGTCCCCACCAAGACTACAACTCCCGTCAGGCCCCGCGCCCGCCGCGTGGCTTGCCGGGAGCTGTAGTTCCCCCASTGCGGCGCTGCTGCCCATAGTGCGGAGCCAGCGGCGCTTTTCCCGCTCCCGCCCGAACTCTCCGCCGCTTCTCCCCGCTCCGCTCCAGCCACCGGTGCYTGTGGCCACCGGGCCGGGCCACGGCGCGGGGGAAGACAGGCYGGATCGATGAGCCGAGACCAATGGTTCAACAACACCAAGTGCCGGGTCCCGCACTTGGGTCACACCAGCCCCTGCAGCGCTACAGGCTGGGGGCAGAGCGGCTGAAAAGGTGCTGAGCAGAAAGGGGCATTGGGGTGTTGGTCAACAGCARCTGAACATGAGCCAGSGTGTGCCCGAGTCGCCAAGAAGGCTAATGGCATCCTGGCCTGTATCAGAATAGTGTGGCCAGCAGGAACMGGGCAGGGATTGTCTCCCTGTRCTCAGCATTGGTGAGACTGCACTTGAATACTGTGTCCARTTCTGGGCCGTTCGCKTCRGGAAGGACATTGAGGTGCTGGAGCRTGTCCAGAGAAAAGCTGGTGAAGGGTCTGGATGGCATGTCCTGTGAGGAGTGGCTGTGGGAGCTAGGAATGTTCAGCCTGGAGAAAAGGCGRTTCAGGAGGGTCCTTATCTCTCTACAACTCCTCCTGAAAGGAGGATGTAGCAATGTGGAGGTCGATCTCTTCTCACAGGCAATTAGTAATAGGGTGAGAGTATAAAACCTCAACTTCCACCGGGAGAGGTCTAGCTTGGACATTAGAAGGAATTTCTTCACAGTAAGGGCGCTTAGGTATTGGAATGTGATGCCTAGGGAGCTGGTGGAGTCACGATCCCTGGAGGTGTTTAAAGTAATTCTGGACGTTGCAATGAATGCCGTGCTCTACCTTACAGGGCGGTGTCCGGTCATAGATTGGACTCGGTGACCTCGGAGTTCTTTTCCAACCCAGCTGATTTTGGGATTCTGACTCGCTCCAGTCGCAAGGGCGGGAGGGAAAGAAGGGCGGGTGTGTGTGTATCTGTGTGTGTGTCTGTGTGTGTGTCTGTGGAGGGAAAGAAGGGCGGGTGTGTGTGTATCTGTGTGTGTGTCTGTGTGTCTGCGTCCATGTCCCCAGCTCTCTGCCGGACGACCCTGCAGGCGCGCGGGCGCATGCGCGCAAGCAAAGGCAGGATGCGCGCGACCGTCGTGCCCGCGCAGGGGGCGGGGCTGCCGGGGCGGGGAGGGCGCGGGGACGCGCTCGGGGGCGCGCAGCGGCAGCGCCCGCCCTCGGCCTGCGCCCCGCCGGCAGCGCCCGCAGAGCCGCGCCGAGACACCGCCCGCCCGCCCGTCGTGAGGGAGCGGCGGCACGGCCGGCCCGCTCCACCCCTCCTCCGCCTTCCTCCGCCTTCTCCTCCGCCTCCTCCGCCCTCCCCCCTGCCCCTCCTCCCGCTGGAGTGAGCGAGCGAGATGGCGGCTGCCGGGGCTCTGGCGAAGCACGAGCAGATCTTGGTGCTCGATCCGCCCACCGACCTCAAATTCAAAGGTGAGGAGGGGGGAATCCGGCGCGGAGGAGGGGAGCGGGGCGGCAGCGGCGGGCTGTCCCGTTCCGCCTGGGAGCCGGGCCGCCTCCGGACGCCGCGTTCCCCGCTGCCTCCCGCGGGCGGGCCGCGGTGCCGGGCGCTGCCCGCCCGCCGGGGGATGGGGGGCGCCGCCGAGCCGGCGAGCGGGATCGGCCGCCGCCATCTTGGGATCCCGCGGGGATCCGCGGTGCCGGGTGGGATCGGCCGCCCCCTCCCTGCCCCTGCCCCCGCCCGCCCCGCCGTGTCACCGCTGCGCTCGCAGGCCTGTCCCCGGAGCAGCGGCGCCCGGGGACGCGGGTGTCGCTGGCGGTGCGGGCTCCCTCTGGCAGCAGCGGGCAGGAGAGGCCCTGGAGCGGGCTAAGGAATCCTTGCGGGGTTCCAAGCTTCACGAGGCTGCCCTCACGGCTGGCCTTGTCCCACTTTTCCTTTCAGGCGTGTTGGGGCCCGGTGTCCTCGCGGGGATAGTGTGGTTCTGCACCATCACTGCCCGGCATCCGCGCCCTCGCCCCGGTGCGTCCCAGTCCAGCAAAGGGCTCTCCGCTCTTTCCCCAAAGCTGTCATGTCTCAGGCAGGCTATCGGAACGTCATCAGGGATCTCGCCTCTTCCCTGGGAATGAGGAAAAAGGAATGCGTGCGTTTCGGAAGTTTTATGTGTGTTGCGTGCCGACCGCATGGCTGCGACCGCTGACGTGCTGCTGTCAAAATAGGTCCCAGCTAGTGCTGGTATCGTGTGTGTGTGTGGTTTCCTCTCCTCTTCAATTATATAGTTGTGAAAGGAAAGGTTCKGTTAAAAATGAGTGATCGTTGAAAGGCAAGGACATAAAGAAAAACATGACAGAACGGGTAGTTTTTTGGTAGCACCCTGTGATGATACATGTAAGGGGCATTGGGAAAAACCTCAGAACCTTTCAGATGTAGAATCATCCGTATTACAATTGTTTTAAAGTGATTAATATTATGTGAACTTAACATTTTAAAATGTTGTGACTAGTGTCATCCTGTGTACGTGCCTAATTCTGTGCATGCTTCTATTTTCCACTTTTAGTAGGCTCATTTTTCATTGTTTTAGAGGACAGAGTGGAATTTATAAAGTTGTAAAAATCTTCAAATGGACAACTAGAACAAATGAATGCTTGYGTTAGAAAAGAACATTGTGTTCCCCCAAAATACCTTTGGTCTGGCCTTGCATTTAGATAAATTAAAGCTATACTTGTTTATTGATCCATCAAGTCAGTTAAATCCCAGAATCTGTCTAATCATGCATATTAATTTCTTGATAGCTTCAGTTTTAAATTTTGTAAATTACGCTTTCATACACAGAGTGAAAACCGTAGCACRAACTTGTAATTTTCACTTTGGTTTTACATTTTTAAAATGCTGTCACGTCTGGCTGCACTCACATTTCAATATGCTGCGTTCTTACTGCAAGAACAGGTTGGAGGAAAGTGCATGATTTAAATTTTGTTTAAATTAATAAACTACTCTGTCTAATTTGAGGCCTTCAAGTGTTGAGCTGTCTTCAAGCTGGAACTAAGCTGTATTTGTGTGATATGAAACAGTGTGCTGATAGAATRAATGATAGATTAGAAATTCTGTCTGTGTGAAACTGTTGTCAGTTGGTGATCTTTATTGTGCTGTGTATTTATGCACTTAAAGCATGAAATGTGTATTCTTTAGGCATAAACTTTGGTTTCAGGCTAATGCATATATTAGGAAAATTTCTTTAGAGCAAACTAAGCAAAAACAAAATCAGAAGCATACTGAGGCAGCAGCACTCTTACTGTACTATTGCAGTAATATACTACAGAAAGTGCTATCAATTGAGAGACCATCRAGTGCACTCCCAATAAATATTTTCTAACTGCTTATTATTTAGAGGTGTTTMGAAAGGTTTGTGGGCCACAAATGAACCCAGTTCTAAAGTATTGCATTTTAGAATATAATATTGGCAGAAGGTAATTCTGAGTGCCACCTTTTAAAAAGTAGTTGTTTAGTGAGAAATAGAATATATGACTTGGAATGAATGTAGCATAGTGTAGGAAAAGCATAACGTTYTGTTAAAAGAATAAAATATACATTTTTTCAGTGCCGCAGGTTATTCAAAGTTATTTTATTGGTACAATCATCAGTGATTATTATTGACTTAATACCGTTGATGCATATGTAACAGAGATCCAGTTTAAGTCTAAACATTTGAATTGAACAAATAGCTCTGTTGGTTTTCTTGCCTGGGGAAGTTATAATGGATTTGCTGACCTTTAGGATAACAGTGAAATGTGATAGTATGCCCSTATGCAAACAACTATTTCAATTAAAAGATACGTAGAACTTATCTTAAGGAGTTGTTAACAAGGCTTTAAATTCATCATTACCTGATGAAACTGCTTTTTTTTGTTAATATAACCTAATTTACTCTGTCAGCAATAATAAGGTCTGTAATACATTTATCCTTGAATKTTGCTCAGCACGATTCAAGGGGAGTTCTAAAGAACATGTCCTGTAGTGGCTAACACGTAACRTATTTCCCTTGGTGTTCAAGACACCAAGTGCTTTGTAGTCCTAGAAATTTCAATCGTTAAGAGTGTTTGGGTCATGGTTARTTCCCTCTGTCCCCCTGTGCTAGTTAGGTTTCTTTGGGTTCTGGAACTATCAGGAATATCTAAGAAAAATCACAAAACAAACAAGTACTTTTCATAGTGTTATGCAAATGTGACAAAGGTAAAAATTATACTTAAAAGCGATGAAAACTAAGAGGCAGTTGATAAACTACCTAATATCACTTTCAGACACTCAGTACTGGGTGCTGAAAATTCGCCTCATGGTTCTTGTGGCCAGGTTCTTGAGCAATATTGCTCCTGTAGGTAGGCTTTCTTTTGTATTCTAATGTATTTTGTTTAACTTCTCAAATCTGAAGTTGTTGGGAGTTTATTTAGGACTGGATAGGAAGTATTGAAACATAAGACACTTAAAAGCAACCCGTTTGGAAGGTGGAACAGCTGCTTCTTACTGGTGTCTTCTTCATGCAACTCATACATGTAATTGCTGTCAATAGCTCTAATTTAGTGAAGATTATGGAAATATGGAGTTGATTCCTTGTCAGTGAATAAGGTTTTTTACTACTTTTTTTTTTTTTTTTCTGTAAGCAGTCATGTAGTTTAATAGCAACATTTGATGTTTTATGTTTGAAAATTTGTAGCATTTTTATGGAAACTCCTTCTTCCTTAAGCCAAAGAAGCCAGTTTTGCAATATTAAGTAAGTCTTAAGTTGGTCTTGGATGACGGTCCTTTAAAAAAAAAMAACTTTAAAAACCACCTAATGTTTAAATCAGTCATAAGACAWGCTTCTGCAACACCTAATTGAAAATCAACACTAGTTGATTTGATGAGCTTTGGAAGATTAGTAGATAGTGTTCAGAATTTAAATTTCATGTGATTCAGAGGTGTCTGACTAGCAATAAAAATTATAAACACGTCTGAATATTCTAAATTGATATCCTTTATTGAAGTTCTGGCTTAGACGTGTGTGAAGTCCAGTTAGTTACCTTTGTAAAAATCTCAAAATAAGAAGCCACTCTTTTCCTTTAGCATACTAAAATAAAATTTGCAATGTGTCTGTGTGCAGTAAATTTTCTTTTTGATGGGTTGAGTTACTAGGAGAGATCAGTGTAACAGAGGATGTTTAATTTCTGATTGCTGATCTGAATCGTAGTCTAGATTTGTCAGTCTATAAAATCAGCTATCAGCTGGTATATGTTCAGATAACTTTTCATGGGAAGTAGAGAGCACTTCACTCAAGTATTGCAGCTTATTCTGAAATGCAGATTTCAACAACCTTTTAAATAATACAAAAACATTGCTGTACATTATTTTGTAATCATTACAGTGCTGTTGGTAACATTAAATGCCACAGGCTATGTGTTGCTGCAAATCGAGAAGTTGGAATTTAAAAGCAAAAATAGCTTGATGTTAAATGCATTCCCTGCCCTCAACCTCTGTTGCCAGAATTGGCCTAGGTTGCCTTTCAGTGTAGGCAGAGTTTGAAGTCCTCAAATGTGATCTTACTTCCTTACTCGTGTGTATCTTGATCACATCAAATTTTATACCTGTGTTCACTCTCTTCAAAGTACCAGTAAAATTTGTGATGTCCCTATTCTCTAGATGAGTTAAAAAAAAGGTGATTGTGATGCCAATTTTCTGGTGTCTTCATTCAGGAACATTTTTGAAATGAAACAATGGAGTGTAGAGGATGAAAAACTGGTTGTAAGTGATTACTAATATAGTTGTGACTTTCTGATCCTTTGAAATGGTTCCATTTAAGTTAACGTATTTGCTGTCTGAGAGTTTTGTAATGGCAAGAATTGAACATCCCATAAAAATGACTCAATATTCAACACGTAGTCTGACTTTTTTTTCTTCTAAATACAAGAGTGATTGTTGGCATTGTCTACTCTGCCCGTATGTATACTTCTATCATTGTTTCATGGCATTGTTTCATGTAGTATTTATTAGTATGTTAATTTCTTTAAATTATACATATTAATAAAAACCAAAGCACAGAATGAAATGTGGCAATGTGTTGGGGAAGAAAAAAGRAGATAATGTTTTTTTACCTGGTGTTGCTTATTTGGTGGTATTACGTTATGCAGTTGTCTCTAYCACTGTGCTAGACTGCCTTGTAAAAAGGGAGTTATATTGATCTGTGAGGTKAGGTGTATTATAGGTGTTGGATTATATTTGGCAGAACTAGTTTGTCATTTATTTTAAGATTCAGTAATGGAATATTTTCCTGTGGTGTTAGAGGTATACAGYAATGAAGATTTAGAAGTTTTGTCCTTTACCTGCAATTTATAGGGCTCTTTTATTTATTAGTGCTGTTGCTTCACTAAGCAGCGAAACAGTATCCAGACCTCACATCTTGTCCTTCTAGTGTGTGTCAATGATTATTGGTATAAAAGCTTCACCT